TTGCTGCTGTCTCCCTGATGCCTCCCCATCTCCTCTCTCCTCTTGCCAGGACAGCACAGGCCATGCTGCTCTGGATCTTCCCCTCAACGTTCTTCCTATACCCGCATACCCTGCTTTGTCTCCTCCAGTTGTCGTTACCCTGCAAAATGGTGACAGCAACCTGGCCAGCCCTGCCATTTTATAATTTCCTTGTCCAAGTTTTCCCCGCCTCACACCTCAAAATGGCCACTTTCCTGCCTCTCCTCCACCTTTTCCTGTGCCCTCCGATGCGCTTGGCTCCTCCCTTTCCCCTGCTTCAATGGGTGTAACAGTGCTGGGACCCTCCCCTTCTGTGGAGAATTCCCTCCCCATCCTGGACCCCATCCTTTCCTGCACCCCTTCTGTTCTTGGCTTTTGCCCCAATGGTCACTCCCCTTCCAGTTCCCACAACACTGGAGCCAGAAGTGGCAATGACAGTGACTGGAAGGAGTCCATATTGACCTCCACTGCCACTCACCAACTGGAATATTGCCCAAGAAGGCCTCGCACAGTCATAAAGTGCCCTCTATCCTCCTTGGAGGATAAGAGTAGTGATTCCTCAGACTCAGATTCCAGTCCTGGGTCTGAGGATTGCTGAGCCAAAACACAGAGGGAAGGCACTTGGGAGGGGGATTCAGAACTGGCCAAAACAATCTTGGCCTTCCTCGTTGTGTATAAACAGGGAGAAGGACAACATCACCCAGCTCCTGGGAGCCCTTTCCCTATGGGGAACTTAAAGAGCTTTGCAAGGCAGCCAAGGAGCATGGCTGGGGATCATGCTTTTTAGAGAACCTGCTTGAAGCTACCTTCTATGCTCATGTTTTAGTACCCCATGGTATTCAAAACATCATAAGCTACCTCCTCTCCCCAGCCGAGTACATGATGTGGGAAAGGTAGTGGACAAAATATCTAAAGTCATTGGCAGATACACATTCCAACGATGCCAACAAACCAAATTTAACAATTGAGCAAATGGCGGGAAGAGGTAACTTCCAAAAACCCATGGACAAGCAAAACACTTACCAGAAGCCTCCCTTAACGATATTGCCACAGCTGCCAAATCATCATTGCTCCTCACTCCCGATGACACCATTCCAACACAGAGCTTCATGAACATTAAACAAGGGGTGAATGAGACTTTCATAGTTTGTTGATAAACTTAAGGTTGTACTTGAAAGACAAATAGAAAGTCCAGAAGCCTGAAAGGAGGTTTTGAATACAAAGGTCATGGCCAATGCAAATACAGAGTGGCAAAGCAATCTTAAGAGCCCTTCCCCTTGACATTGAACCATCCATTGAGCAAATGGTGGAAGCCTGCACCAAACACACTTCTACAGAAAACACTGTTGCCCAAGCTGTTGCAAAGGGCATTGCTGAAGGCATATCAGGAGCTTTTGCAGTAATAGCTTCAAAAGAAAATTGTAGATGTTTCAACCGCAGCGGTTTTGGACATTTTCTAAAGGACTGTTCTGAGAGACTACACATCAAGGACAACCAGAAAAGCCATCAGTGACTCCAGAATCAGTCGTGTTACCAACTGAGTCCGGGAAATTCCAAGCAGAGCGCGGCATGGTCCGACGCTACGATGTGAAATCAGAGGCCATCCCATCCTGCTCTCCCCACCACTTGTGAAGAACAAGAGAAGCAAGCACCATCTCTGAGTGTTCCACCCCAAATGTAGGAGATTCAACATAAAGAAAGATACAGGTGGGCACCTGGTGCCAGCTGGTAACTCTGCTGTCAATTGACTTCACCACTGAAGGTATTTATAAGATCACTACAGGAAAAACTGGGCCACCAAATGGTCCTTGGGACATCCTCATCATAGGAGATACTTTGAATGGACCGGATGAAATTCGTGTCATACCAGAAGTACAGACTGTAGAATCCAGAGACCAAATTTTTGTCTCGACCTGTTGCACCAAACCACCTTTCCCCCTCTCTGCTGGGATGGCAATTGCACAGGCTTTTCTATTACCCAGAGACTGCATGGAACAGGTTCCCCTCAACTCCACCATCATGTGGGTGCAGGTTGTGGGCTCAAACAAACCCATCATTGAGTGTGGCCTGTCCTGCAAGGGGGAGAAGATCTATCGGGCGGGCATGCTGGACACCAGGGCTGATGTCACCCTTATTGCCTGCTCTGAGTGGCCAGCAAATTGGGAACTGCAGAACGTGGTGGGGATGACCTTGGGGTTTGGACGTGCAGCAGTATGAATGAGAAATAAAAGAAATATTGTTGTGGAAGGTCCCATGGGCAAGATGGAGACCATCAGGCCATTTGCAGTGAGGGCACCAATCACCCTGTGGAGCAGGACCTCATGTCTCAATGGGCAGCCTCTCTAAAAATCCAGTAGAGATTTTTAGTTGGAGCCACTGATGAGCATGCCAGTCCTACCATTCCTCAACTCACTAGGAAACAAAATTGTCCAGTGTGGGTTGATCAGTGGCCCATCTCTAATGAAAAGTTGCACACACTAGAGGCTCTTGTGGAGGAGCAGCTTGCCAAGGGCCACATCACTCACACCAACAGCCCTTGGAACTCCCCAATCTTTGTTTTGAAAAAATCTGGCAAAAATAGGTGGAGGCTTCTCTATGAACTCAGGAAAATAAATGAAGTAATGGAAGACATTGGTCCCTTCCATCCCGGTTTGCCCTCACCTTCTATGCTGCCTTAGGACTGGAAACTTGTCATCACTGATATTAAAGACTGTTTCTTTAATATCCCCCTTCAGCCTTGAGATGCCCCCAAGTTTGCGCTTTTGGTCCCATCCCCAAACAGGCAGGCCCCTCTAAAAAGGTACCACTGGCTGGTCCTTCCTCAAGGAATGAAAAACTCCCTGACCATATGCCAGTGGTATGTAGCCCACATCCTGTCACCCCTGAGGGGCCTGTTCCCTGATGCGGCCATCTATCACTACATGGATGACGTCCTTGTCTGCGTGCCTGAAGAAAATTACCTGAAAGTAACTTTAAAAAGAGCTCTCAGAGCCATTGAGGAGGCTGGGTTTGAGATCCGCGAAGACAAAATCCAGCACGCCTGCCCCTGGACTAACCTGGGACTCTGGATCCATGAGTGGACCATCGTGCCCCAGCAACTGGCCATCCAGGATGACCCAAAGACCCTGCGAGACCTACACCAGCTCTGCGGGTCCATCAGTTGGCTACCTCCCCTGCTGAGGATAAAGATGGAGGTCCTTGCACCCCTCTTCAACCTGCTTTGCGGCAGTGAGTAACTGGATTTGCCATGCACCCTCACTGCGGGGGCCTGGGAATCCATCATCAAGGTCCAGGAGGCCCTGTATTCATGTCAAGGCCACCGTTATGAGCCCAGCCTGCCTTTCCACTAATTGTCTTAGGTACGGCCCCAAGGTTCCATGGCCTAATTTTTCAATGGGATGCAAGTTTGAAGGACCCCCTTTTAATTATTGAGTGGATCTTTCCCCATAATCAACCTACTAAGACCAATACTACTCCTCAAGAAATTATGGAGAATCTAAACAAAAAAGCTAGGACTCGCCTCTGCAGTCTTGTGGGGTGGGAGTTCACATGCATTTACCTCCCACTGACAGCCGGGGATCTGGAGCATTTACTCCAGACCAATGAGAGCCTCCAGTTCACCCTAGATAGCTACATGGGCCAGATTTCTATTCATCTTCCAAAACACAAACTGTTCAATTCGGCTGTCAGTTTGGTCCCTAAACTCTAAAAGCTCTAACAGTTTTTACTGACAACTCAGGAGGATCCCACAAGACAGTAATGACTTGGAGGGAACCCAGGACACGGAAGTGGGAGTCTGATGTTCAAGTGGTGGAAGGATCCCCACAAATTGCAGAATTAGGTGTCATTGTCAGAGCTTTTGAGAAATGCCAAGAACCTTTTACTTTGGAACAGATTTGGTCTGTGTAGCCAGAGTAGCTATGAGGGCAGAACATTCTTTTTTAAAAGAGGTCTCCAACCCAAATTTGTACCGCATGCTTTCTAAATTAATATATCTCATCTCCCATAGAAACCAACCATACCACATAATACATGTGAGGTCACACACCGACCTCCCAGGTGCCATCATGGAGGGAAACAGGAAGGGAGACACACTAGCCATAGCTGCTAAAACTGCCAGCATTCCTGACATCTTTGCCCAGGCAAAGTTGCACATGCTTTCTATCATCAAAATATCCCAGCTCTCATGAGTATATTTCACCTGTCCCAAGAGCAAGCAAGAGCTGTGGTAGCTACTTGCTCAAATTGTCAAGCCTACCAAATTCCATCCTTCAGCTCCAGGGCCAACCCCAGAGACTTTGACAGTTGACAGTTGTGGCAGACTGCCATTACCAACTTCCCGTCTTTTGGGAGGTTAAAATACATTCATGTATCCATAGATACCTTTTCTGATGCAGTGTTTGCCTCAGCGCACGCAGGAGAGAACACTAAACATACCATGAGGCACTTCCTCCTGGTGCTCACAACCCTGGGAATCCCAGAAAGCATCAAGACAGATAATGGCCCTGCTTATGTCTCCAACAAGTTAAAAGAGTTCTTCAACCAATGGGGTGTAAAGCACACAGCACAGCACACCACATTCTCCTACAGGGCAATCAATTGTAGAAAGGACTAATGGCACCCTTAAATGGGTCCTCAGTCAGCAGTGGGGAGGAACAGAGATTATATCTCCCACTGAGAGGCTCTGTAAGGCTCCTTATGTTATTAATTTTCTAAATTGTTCCTTCTCAGAGCCAAAGCCCCCTGTACCCTGGCATTTCTCAAATTCAGCCAGAGCTAAGCTTGAAGAGAAACCACCAGTGCTGATTAAGGATCCCAAAACCCAGCAAATACCTGGACCTTTCCAACTGATTACCTGGAGGAGAGGCTATGCCTGTGTCTCAACGCCATCAGGCCCAAGATGGCTCGCAAAAAACCCAAAAAGCTTAGCAAACCCCAGCCCCATGGACAATAACAAAAGTTCTACTGAGACAAATACAGGTCTACCCGAAGACCAGAGGAACAGCACCTGGAGACAAAGATGGCATCGTCAACTCCAACGCCAATCAACCTTTCCGTCACCAGATCACAGACGATGCAAAGCACCAGACAAGACGCAGTTCAAACAAGCTGTTTCTCCAGAATCACACTTATCTTCGTGCTTACCTTTGTACCATGTCCTCTCCTCTGTCTTCTTCCTTCCCAGTCTTTTCCCATTTTTCCATAACCACCTCCCTGTACCCTTTACTCACCTCCTGCTACAAGCCTTCTATTAAATAAAGAGCAGGGAGTTGTGGAGGCCAGTGGGCCAACAAAGAAGAAGCCTACAGTGCTCCCCTAGAGGGGAAACCATAGTTGCTAGGGTGAGGAAACAGGCTTCTCCCAGCATGCCTCACTCTGACATGCAGATCCAGTGTATCCCATTGGCCCTTCTCCCTTGCTCCACCCCTGTACCCTCATCCATTGGCCCTGGTGTAGCTTTCTGCCAGGAGGTGGTGGTGTCTAGTGGGTGGGTGGTGGGTAATGGACACTGCCAGCCAAGGGCCAGGAGCTGTGGGAGAACCAGGCACAGCCCTGAGGGAGAAGGAATCCCAGGTGAGGGGAAGCCAGAATGCTGGGGATGAAGCAGCCTGGGCTGTGACAGTGGGGGCAGCTGAGCCCGTGGGAGTGAGCGTGGGTCTGCCAGGATGGGAGGATGGCTCTGAACAAAGGTAGGGATGTGCAGAGCCCTGGCCAGCTCTGCTCACAGGCTGGGAAGGTTCACCTTCAGGGATGCCAGTGAGGATGAGACATATCAGGCCAGCCAGGAACAGGAGAGTGCCCTGCACTTTCTTCCTTCCAAACCACTCCAGTAGGAAAATGCAGGAAATTCGAGCTGGAAGCTCCACTGCCCCAAAGGCCAGCTGTGTCAGGTAGATGTCCAGACCAAAATCTGTCACGCTGAGGCTCAGCCCATAGTAGACAATGCTGTCTGCAAACCTGAAATTCAAGGAAAGTGGAGTGGAACATGTCAGCAGATGGATATCTGGGGGTTTATAACCAAAAATTAGAAAGGATAGAACACATGCAATATTCTTAACACATTTCTAACAATCTCTGTTTTGGTTCTAGTCAGCACCTTTGACAGTTGTGTGAGATGTAGTTGCAGGAGATAAAGCAGAATGGGTCTTCATATGGTCAGCAAATTCTAGGCTGAACCCAAAGCTTCTAGATAGGCACAAAACTCCTCCAAACATCAAGTACAACCTTTGACAGACCATTGCCCTATAAAACAGAAGGGGAGAGATAAGGTAGAATGCAGAAGCTGAGGATGCTGATAAACAAGGCTTTTGCTGAGCTGCATGGCCCTGGTATGTCTTGTTGCAGCCCTGAAGGGTCCTGGAGGCCCAAAAATTATCAATGACAAGAACTTGGAAGGTAAATGTCTTTGAGAGAGGAGATGATGTGAGTAGAAGCAGGCTGAAGAACTATGGGGATACTATGGCAGGGATGCCCAAAAGGTCCCTCTAGGCAGATACATCATGAAGTCAAGGGTCTGGATAGTGGAAAGGGGACAGATGGTGGGCAGAACATGTGCTGGACTCACACACTCCTGGTGTCCACCCCAGACATCTTTCGAACATGTGCTGGACTCACACCCCCATGGTCCCTGCCTGTGCCCACCCCAGGCAACTTCACCCCGGCCTTCCTGTGATAATCTGCCAGGGATTCCAGCTGCCATCTGTGTGATGGAGGCGAAATCCTGCAGTAAATCTCAGCCTGCCTGCACCACAGCTGGCAGTGGCTGACCAAATCATAGGCCAGGATATCCCACCCCCTCCCAGCACAGCTGGCAGTGGCTGACCAAAGCACAGGCTGGGATATCCCACCCCCTCCTTTGCACAGCCCTGTCTCATCAAGCAGCAAGCACAGACCTCGGTCAGCAGGGACGGTGGCTGCTCTGAGGGGTACACCCAGCCACTGCTGCACTTCTGCGTGTGGTTCAGCCCGTAGGCCAGGATGGCATCCAGGTCCCAGTCGACCGGGGAGAACATGGAGCACTGCTCAAACTCCCCGTCGGCGCGGCGGGGCAGGGTGAGGTTCAGCTGCTCTTCCTCCGTCAGGTTGGGGCCGACGGCGCGGATCCAGCTGGTGTCACAGTGGTGAGGCACTTCCACCACCATGAAGACTTGGCCAACCATTTGGAAAGGATTGAGAAGTAGTGGGAGGGAGAGGAGCAGGATCAGCAGTTTCTGGTAGAGCCCAAACTCCCCCAGAGCCCTCAAAAGATCCCCAAACTCAGCCATGGTGAGCACCTCTGTGGGCAGGCTGCACTGCTGCCTATGGCTTAAATAGGCAAATATTAATGTTTAAACTGTGTGAGCACTAAAGCCCTAATCCAGTGTGATAAAATGAGCACCTGCACTGGCACACCGGTCCATTGTGATGATACAGTGCAGTGCTCCAGGCTGCACTTTGTCACCAGCCATTCCCTCCCTGCTCTTGGGAATAGAACAAAGGTGCCAGAGCACTGCCACTCTTGGGGATGGTAGAGTGACATCTCGTCCTTCTCCAGCCTGAGAAGTGTCACAAGGCCTCCTGAAGGCAGCTGTGCTGCAGCACAAGGTTTGTGTCTGAGGCATGAAGTTGGGATTCTGCAAATGAGGGTTAATTTTTCCTGGGGTGGGGATGCAAACAGAGCAAATTTGCTGCTCCCATTAATGGTTTAATGACTCTGTAGCACATCCTGGAGACAGAGATATGTAAGGCAATATGGAAGAGAAGAAGAAGAACACTTCTCCTTTGCAGCAGGAAATATGTCTGGTAGTGCAAGAGCCTTGCTCTTGACAGCTGTGTCCCAAGCTCTCTGTTTTCATTTGTAGAAACCCTGGTTAGTCATAAAACTAGATCTAAACTTCAGTTTCTTGAGATAATCCTAAAATAGACCTGGCTGAGAGAGTACCCTCAGGGAAAAGAGCAGGTTACACACACAGACATTGAGAGCACAGAGGAATTGGGAAATGACACCAGCTTGGCTTTGCCTGAGGTTCTGATGTCACTTGAAAAGCAGATTGCCCTGATTTCTGCTGCACATCTGAGCTGCTTCCTGGGTAGGCTCCCTGAGTGGCTTGGGTCTTTATTCCTGCTACACTGGCTGGCTGCAATTGCCCTCAGTGTGTGAAATTTTGTGTGTAATTTGGCAAAAGTTGGTTTTACCAGAGCTCCTGGCTGCTTTCAGCAGAACCATGAGGACATCATTAACCTGCTCATTGCAAATCTCCTCTCCAGTGCTTTGTCTTTCACTCTCAATGCCCATAGGATGCCTGAGCCTCCCACAAAATCACTCCTGGGTCACAAAACGTGGACTGGTGTTTCATGAGTGGGAATAGGTCTGTTGTGCTTATGAAAGTCAGTAAAGGAGAAGAATATTGGATTTTAAAGCATCACCCCTAAGCTGGAGTGGGAGAGTGAGATCACACAGGTTAGTGCTGTTCAGAGTAAAGGAAGAGAGGAGTAAATGTTGCTTTGAGTTGTGTAAATTCACACCAGTGCTGTGCATGCACCATCTGCACACACCACACAGCCAAACATCACTCAGCTCTGCATCCACATCCTTGGATGAGAGGACTTGCTGTTTTTCAGAGACATTCCCTGAGCAGGAGGCTGAGCTACACGACTTCCAGAGATTCCTTTTCCCCTAAATGCATCTCTGGCCTTTTGCTGGGATGACCTGGCCAAGGAGATCTGCTCTGGCAGAGACATTTGTCCCTGTCCTGCCTTCTCTGTCAGTGTGCAACAAGCTCAAGTCTTCAGGCTCCCCCTGTTGTGTGTGGCTCATGGTCTTCCCTGCCATTCCTCAGCCCCCAGCTGAGGAATTTTCTGTGGCAGAGGTCCAATTTATGAGTATGAAACCTCCTTGGGGGCTACCTGAGATCTGAGTGAGTGTCCTGTGCTAATGCAGATGTGACTCCTTCCTTAGAGCTGTTCTTCCAGCCATGACCAGCCAGGCTCTTCTGAAGCCCTGGGAAACTCCAGTGCTCTGTCACCCTCCGATGACATTTCACATGGAAAGATGTCTTCATTACTGTGTCCATCACCTAGGGCTGATGGGTCAGTCCTACATGGTGCGGGAAATCTTGTCTAGAAAAGAACAAGTGACTGCCCCCCAGAAAATCCATGTTGCCAAACAGAAGCTGAGCATCCTTGGGTAACTCTTCTGAATTGCCTAGAGAAAAAAATATCCCATCCTGTGCCCCTGTGTCCTGGACATCCAAGCTCAGCAGGTTCTGGGTTCCTGGTAGATGAGCATCATGGTGATTCCCTTCCCTGGTGAGATTTTTGCTGTTGTCAGCTGCAGACACAAGCTCTGGAGGAAGCTGTAGAGGGTTTGTTCCATGATTTGAGTTTCCTGCAGATTCTTTCTGACTTTTCTGTGCTGGCATGAGAGGGGGCCAACAGCTGTCGTGTTGCTGCCAAACCTGACTATTTAAAGACTCTCGGTAATGAATCTCAAGTTCAGTTCTCTCACTTTTATCATCATGTGACATGGCTGTGCTGGGAGCTGACAACAGGACATCAGTCTCCTTGCCCTCAGCAGAGCCTGAGAATCCTCCAGAGCTCTCCTGGATGTGTTTAGGGAACACCTCCACCTTTCCAGGCTGTGGCAGCTGATCATTCTTGGAGGAATTTTGCTTTTCTTGGCTGCAGGAGCTGAGGAGGCCCTGGGCCTTTTCTGTCCTGCCATCAGTTTTTGCTTGTTCTGAGGATCCTGCAGGTTTTTCTGGTGCGCTCTGCTTCTTCTCTGAGGAGTGACCAAACAAAGTGGCAAGGGCTGATTGGGGTTTTGTGGGTTTCCTCTGGGTTGTTGCTTCTTTCCTGGGAGTTCTGCCTTTGTCTTCAGAGCCAAAAAGGGTAACGAAGGGGTTTTTCCCAAGCCTGAAAGCTTTACCTGGTGTCTCCCTACAGGCCTGGCTGCTTCTGGCCTCCTTGCTCTGGGCCCTGGTCTGTGACATAGGCCCAGTGCTTTCCCCTGGAAGTTTCATATCTTTTTCTTCACCTGCTGGATGTCCTCTGCATTTGTCCAAGGATGTATTTGATTTGGAATATTCTGATGTCTTGGCTGGTTGTTCAGAAATGTGCAAAGTGTTTTCACTAAGAACTTCCCTGGATTCCTTTGACTTGGGCTTGTTGACTTCATCATGTGAGGGGCAAGGGGCACAAGTTCCTTTCAGAGGTGTGTCAGTTGATACTAGAAAGTCCTTTCCAGATGATTTAGTATCATGTCTCCAAATACCCTCATGGGTGTCACTTTTCAGTGGGCCACATGTGTCCTGAGGTTCTGTTTCTTGTAAAGAGGACACATTGTGATCACCTGTGCTGTCTGGACAACCAGCTGAAGAGACTCTGCTCTTTTCAGCTTCATTGTCCTGAGATGCATGCTCAGGACTGGGCTCTTCCAGAGAAGCTGTCATAGTTACTGGTTTCTCTTCTTTTGTCTTCTCAAATTCTGCCCCTTTGCTCTCAATTCCAGGCAAATCACTGCTGCTGGATGGCTGCAAAGTTAATGGCATCTGTTTGCCAGGGAATTTTCTGGTGCTTGCCTTTGATTTCTCATTCAATGTTTCAGTGATCTCAGGTGACACACCCAGCCCTGCTGGCTCCAGGGAGCCAGAAGATACAGGTGAGGTCCTCAACACTCCATGGGGGGAGTGGGATTGTTCAGCTTCATCTTCAGGGGGATCAACATCCTCTGCTGTATGTTTTAGTTCTGTATTTGTGGTGTTTCTGGTTTTGGGCTCTCCCGGCACATGAATGGCCTGTGTGCTGTTCATTCCCTCTCCAAGGTGATGCTTGGCCCCTGCAGTATCTGGGGTGGCTGTGATCAGCTCAGGCTTGTCACCTGTGGTTGTGCCTCCTTTGCTGGGTGTGCTCAGTGACCCACAGACCTTGTTTTGTGTCACTGGGACCTCTGTGGCAGCGAGAGTGCAGCCCCCTGTGCCCCCCAGGTACATCCTGGGGGTGGGTTTGGTGCTTTGGTGTGTGGGGTGGGGAGCAAGTGAGGCACGAGGCAGGGGCTTCACAGGCTCCAGGACGGGAGGGAGGGGGGCACAGGCAGGTCCTGTGTTCTGCTGGGCTTGGCCCTGCTGGAGTGCAGCCACTCTCTGGGACACCTTCCCACCCCTCTTCCCTTCAGGCACATCCCCAGCCTCTTCAGGGCCTCTCTGCTCTCCGTTCTTGGGCCAGGAACACGCCTGCTCTCTTTCCTTGGTGTAGGTGATTCCAGGTAGGAATCTTCCCTTCTCCACTGCTCCCTCCTGGCCCCTGAGCTCTATGCTGCCTGCACCCTTGTAGGATTGCAGGCTCAGTGCAGGCTTTTTCCAGGAACACACTCCATTTCCAGCTTTCCCATCTGCAGCCAAGGCTGGCTCTGAAGGTGGCCAGACTGCTCTGAGCTTGTTCTCTACAAAGACAGGCCTGCTGTTCCTGTGCTCAGCCAGCTGCAGATCACACTGAGCATTGAAGGATGTGGGTTTCTCTCTTGCTTCAGTCCTTTTGGCCCTGTTACACCAGTCCTGGGGCTGTGGTCCATGCTGAACCTGGTGGTGCTCCAGCCTTTCCATCTCACTTCTGCTTCCAGCCCCAGCCATCAGCTTGTAGTGGACTTGGCAGTAGAACACCCCGTGGAGGGCAGCATAGTTTTGCAAGCTGGAAAACACACATTGGCACAGCTGTCAGTGGCTGTGTGGGAGGGGAGCTGTGGCACTGATGGACAGGCTTTCAGCAAAATCGTTTCTCAGTGGGGAAGGGAGGGAGGGAGGGGGTTGAAGAATGAAACCTTTCAAAAGTAGTGTTGGCTTTCTCAGAATATGTTTGATTTTTCTTTCAAACACCAAAACAACATGAAAAATTAAACATTTCCTTGCAGTACCTCTGGGGGTTGTAGGCCAGGTTATGTGCAATCCCTTTCTCATTTACAGGCCAGGCTCCATACCAGCACTCCATCTCTGGCCCTGTATGCACAGCGTGAACCTTGTGGGTAAAAGTGCCCAGGGCTCCCATGATACAGCAACTGCAGGATGGAAGTGTCTGCAGAGCTGGGGGCAACAGGATTTCAAGCAGCCTCTCAGAGGGTGGCTGTCTCAGCCACTGAGAAGCTAAAACAAGTCAGCTTTGTGCCCTGGGGATAGGGAAGCCAACTATGTCCTGAGCTGCATGGCAAAGAAAAGTGAATGCTCCTCTATATTTGACGTTTTTAGGATTTCATATGGAGTACTTCATCCAGTTTTGGGCTCTTCACAGCAAAAAAGACATTGCTGTACTGGAAGGAATCCAGCAAAAAGCCACTAAAGTGGTGAGGGACCTGTGTGACCTGAGGAAAGGCTGAGAGCTGGGTTAGCCAGGAGAAGGTCAGGAGGGAGAAACTCCTGGCTGGATGTGTGTGTCTATTTTATGGGAGGTTATGGAGAAGACAGGGCTGGAGTGCTCTTGGAGAGGGGCAGTGACAGGATGAGAGACAATGGGAACAAATTGTGACACAGGGAGTTGTGATGAGATGCAAGAAAAGCCATTTTCACTGGTGGTCAGCTGTTCAAAGGGGGCCCCAACTGAGACTGTGCAACCTCCAGCACAGAGACTGGGGTTACTCTCCTGGACATGTTCCTGAGCTCCTGCCCTCCTTGGGCCTGAGAAGGCTGGGTGGAGGCTTCCAGAGGTGCCTTCCAACCTACCTGGCTTGATGTGAAACTTGGGAACATGATTTGGTGCTGGACAGTGCTGGGTAAATGGTTGGACTCAATGATCTTAGAGGCCTTTTCCAACCTTAATGATTCAATGAACAGAGGAGGCACCCAAATGACTCCTCCAACAACATATCCTATCAGTATTCCCAAACTGTGAATATTTATTGTAGTTCCAGCTCACCCTTGCACCACCATCCATGCAGATTCCTGATCCAGAGGTGTCTGCAGGCTTGAGCTGGGCAGACTTCAGCCTCCAGTGATGGAGAGGCAGATGGAATCAGGGAGACTGCCTGGCCCTATTTCTCATTGCCTGAGTCCTGCTCTGTCAGAATACCCTTGGACAAAATTGATGGAAACTACTTGGGCATCCCTTAAAAATAAATGCTCCTGAGTTCCACCACTCACCTCAGCTTCCTCCCGCAGGCCCGACAGCAGAAACACGAGCGGTGCACAGAGAGCTTGTCAGTGACCACACACTCCATGGGGTAGACAGGCTTCAGGCAGGAGGCACACATTTCTTTCAACATGGGCTGAGGAAGGAGAGACTGGGGTTAAATGACTGAATCATGCCCAGCTGGAAGTTCATCTGCAAGGTAATTTACTGGATTTCCTGCTTGCGTTGTGTTTTCTTGTTGTTCTCTTGCAGATCTGTTGTAGTAGTTCAGGTTCCTGTCTGACTCAAATTGCCTGTCATCCTGGATGGGTCAGTGTTAATTTTCAGTCAGAACAGAAAGACAGAACACCCTTGCATCTCTGATGAGAAATAATATGTTCATTTGATTGAGAGTAAATGATTCATTCAGTTGAATTATTTAAAAACCTTGAGTGAGGTGAGAAATGTTGCTCTGACTCAAAAACTCTGTGCAACTCGTGGAATCACTGATATCTCATGGCTGCTCACACAGACATAGTCCAAGCCCTGGAAAGGCAGCTCATTTCAGTGTAAAGCTTCCACAGCTCCATGGATCTGGTGGTTTTCTCCACTGTGTTTACTCTCTGGATTGTGTTGTGAGCCACAACCAATTCCCCAAACACCTCTTTATGCGAAAAGCCCCGAGAATCTCTCTGGAACTCCCAACACCAGCCACAGTAGTGGAGAGAGAGAGGGGCAAAGAATCTTGGCTATCAGCCCAGCTGCAGAAAGAGCTCCAGGTATTCTGCATGGTCAAGTGACCCAGAGCATGCAGGTGGCAGTGAGGATGTCTCTGTGCACCCCTCAGTGT